TATTTATATATATATATCTATATATATACCTATATATATATATGCGTGTGCGTATACGTATTACATGATTTTACCTCCTCGTCATGGTACAATACTAGTGGTTAATATTTTTTCATTATTTATATGTTTTAAAAATAGATTAGAAGTAGGAGGTTAGCATAAAAATATTAACATTCCTAGAAGGAAAAGAGAATCATATTTTGTAGGTAGGGGCTACTCTGTATCGTCTGGAAAGATGAGTACTTCTCTTTTCTACTGCAGTTTTCATGAAAGTACTTCTTACAAATTCATTCAATTTAGGATGTACAATTAAAGTCTACCTCTGAAAAAGCATTCTCTAGTGTTCGAATATATTTTTGAATTTCCTTTTAAAAATTAAATGAATCACATCAAACAAATCTGTTAAATAAAATTGGATTAAGGAATCAAAGTTAAGCACATACCTTACCCTTTTGCAACATCTGAATGATTTAAAAATATCTTTGTATAATCAGTTAATAAAGAAAATAAATAATTGTTCTTTAAAGCTGCTAAAACTAAATTATCTATCGTTTTTAATATTTTATTTGTTAAATTAAACACGTAAATTTTTTGTCACTTTTAAAGACCAAATTTGTCTTATCTGCGGTTGAAAATTAGGCGATTTTTAAGTTCAGAGAGAGCTTTCATTATCATGTGATGTTATATGAGAAAACCATTGATTATCCATCTTTACAGTAAAATTCCATGGGATGCATTTTGTAACTTCATTTTTGCAACCACTACACCAATTTTTTAGAAGATCTTCACCTCTCTCTCTCTCTTTATTTTACAACTACAGTTAAAATTTTATTGAATTCAATATTTTCAAATTTTATCACTAAAAAAACAATTAAAAATTTTTAGATTATTACATAATAAGAAGTAAAAACATAATAAGGCTGCTTTGTTCTTCATTTAAAACCAGATAGTGCAAGAGCAATGTACTTTACTTCACAACTGGCAGATAAGGAAATTTCATATTATTTATTTATAATATTACATATTTAATTTATAATTATATTGATTACATCGAAAGTGAGAAGGGAATTCTTAGATTTTAGGAAAATTAGGACCAAAGTTAAAAATTTTAGGACACTTTTTTAAATTTTAGGACATGTCTGACCCTTGAGACAGGCACCTGCTAAAACCCTAACCTGGTCCCAAACCGCGAGTTTGCTGGAATGGAAGTAAGAATTTCGTCAGGGATGTCCGATTCCAGAAACTACTTAAAATTCTACTATCACTATGGCATAAGTTATTCACTATTTGTAATGTTATTTATTATTTGTAATTTATTTTAGTCAACACTATGCAACTCTGTAAAAATCAAATTCAGAGCTTCCAGAAAATTTATTTTTGCTTTAAAGGCATTTTGCAGGTTGACGGAATCAAGAAAAATAAATTATTACCTAACCAGTTGTTTAATGCAACGTTCTTTAAATGATTGGATTATTCCAAGATTCAAAGGCTAGAAAAAATTCCTCTCACAAATTTTACAATTTAAGTTCCCATACTGATTTTGACTCAAGGTGGAATTTCCCTCTCACAGACAAAGGGGCAATAGTATAGAATAAAAAGAACATCAGAAAAGCTACCAAACGCTAATAAATAAGTTTCTTTTTTAAAAAAAACCAGAAAGTATGCGTAAGCTTTGAAGAGAAAAATTATTTTGATCTGTTAGAAAAACGCATACAGTGGGATTTTCTTCAAAAAGGTAACCTAAAATCAGGATAATTTAACATTATCGGTATAGGTAATTTTCACGGATCAGCAGAAAATGACGAAAGCAGGATAACGTATGAAACGGTCAAAGAAAATATATTTATATATATAGTTTTTCCATGTGCNCTTTCGGTTAACTAACACCGTCTGTGTTAATTATCTTTCACAAAAACCAAGGTCAAGGCCAGAGATGCAGTTCAAATTTAAACTCACCCGTCTGGTAAGTCAAGTAAACAGTAAACACCGTCTGTGTTTAATTATCAATTATCGTTGGTTAATCAACACCGTCTATGTTAATTATATTTTATCAAACGGCCAGAGCCCCCGTGTGGAGGTTGGCGTCAGGTATAGCTGAAATAACTACGCTTTTGTAATAACAAATTTAATGAAAAAAATAACAATAGTATAACGAATACTAAACAAAGACTTCTATTGATTCAATATATATGAACAAGGAATCTTACCTTGTTTCGGCTTCTTGTTCTGCTTTCACCTAGTATTCTCTTCCAAGGTCTTGGGCTGTAGGTAACTAATTACACTTAGGCTGAAAAATACTTCGCACAAGACGTTTAAGAGTTAAATTTAATAATTAATCATGATAAAAAAGAGAGGAAGCTATTTACAGTTGAAAAGAGTAGTAGGTTGTTCACAACAAATTCATAGCTAGACCACGCTCTTGGAAAAAAAGTTCGTAATTGAATGTTTCTGTATTTGTCCGCTAGGGGGGGATCGAGGCATTCTCAACACTCCCCTCCTTGAGTTCAGTAGATTGACTAACTGAACTCAAAAAAAAAGTCACAGCATCAGGGTTCAAATCGATCAGGAACAAGCACTTGTCTTCTAGCACGAGTTTGCAGAGGCGCACACTGATGAGGAGTTTGCTTCTTTAGTTGTTCCATCAATTTTTCTTCAGTTGTTTTGTTGACTTCTAGAGGACAAAGTTTTTTCAAAATACGGATTATGATTCCGGATTTGGTTTGCAACTTAGCAGTTCGGGCATGTCCATCTTTACTTGGCAAAATCTTTAAAATACGCCCGAGAGGCCACTGAATTCTGCTTACATTGTCATTCCAAATTATCACAATGTCCCCAACTTGCAGAGATTCTGAGGTTTTGGTCTTTGAAGAAGTTTCACGAAGTTGACCTAGATATTCCGTTCTGAATCTCTTTCGAAGATTTTGACAGATTTCATTTCTGTATTTCAAGTCATTTTTTAAATTTTTCTTGATCTAAAACATCGAAATCTGCAACACCCACCTGTCTTATTTCTTGTAGGAACATCATAGGTGTTATCGGTGATAGCTCCTCCGCATCATCGGACACATAAGTCAGGGGGCGTGAATTCATTACACTCTCACAGTCACAGAGAACTGTTACCATTTCCCCGTAATTCAATGATGTTTTACCCAGAACCTTTCTTAGTATTCTCTTCATCATGCCAATTAAACGTTCCCAAAATCCCCCATACCAGGGGGCAGACGGGGGTATGAAATTCCAGGTAATTGATGACAGATTGGATTCAGTCTTCAGCTTTTCCCAATCAATGCTTTTTAGAAGGTTCTGTGTTCCAACGAAATTAGTTCCATTATCTGTGTAGACAACTGACGGTCTTCCCCTGCGTGAGATAAATCTTCTAAGTCCCAAAATTAAGTTTTCAGTAGAGAGGGATGATAAGAGTTCCAAGTGAGCAGCCCTAAATATAGCACAAGTCACCATCAAGATCCAAGTTTTTTGACCATCTTTCAAAATGAGGGGACCAGCCAGGTCAGCACCTACAATTTCAAAGATAGCTGCATCCTTCACTCTATCTGCTGGCAAAAGACCATCTGGTACATTGGGAGGTTTAGAATGAAAACGTTTGCAGATGACACAATATTTCATGGCATTTCTTATAGTTTTTCGACTTTTCAAGATCCAAAATTCTTCACGTAATGTAGACATCAGTAATTGAATTCCACAATGTCCTAATTGCTTATGTTTCCAATAAATCAGATTTTTAACCACAGTATAATCTGAGGGAAGAACTATTGGAAGACAAAAATTAAAATCATCTTCTCTCATAAATACTTTAGTTTTAATTCTGATCAGTCCTTCATCATCAATAATTGTTTTCAAAGAATTCAGTCTCTTATTTCCATCGTTGGCAAAAGCATCCTTTTGGACACACTTCAGAATTATTTTCTCAGAATTTTTCAATTCTTTATTGTTGAGTTCTCCAATGGTTCTGTCATTTTCCTTTTTCTTTGAATTTTCAGCGAATCGAAAAATCCATCCGGTTATTCTCAACAATTTCAAATAAGATGAGTACTTGTTGTAAAATTTTTCACTCTCCTTTACGTTAGTAGCAGTAACTATAGTCTTTCTTTTTTCTGCATTGATTGTATCGATATTTGGCAATATTTCGTTCTTCGGCCACCTTTCTTCAGGTTCTTTTAGAAAATCAGGACCATTCCACCATTCAGACTGCAGAAGAGTTTTCGCTGAGCAACCACGTGATGGTAAGTCAGCGATGTTTTTATTTCCAGGAACAAATTTCCATGAATTCGGGCAAGATAATCTTCGGATTTCTCTGACTCTATTTTCCACAAATGTACCCCATGGTACGTCAGTTCTAATCCAATATAAGGTATCCATGGAGTCGGTCCAGTAGTGAGTTTCTACATCTTCGAGTTTCAGATCTCTTTTGACGGATTCTGCTAACCTTGCTCCAATGCAACATGCCAAAAGCTCTAGACGAGGGATAGTTATGTTCTTTAACGGAGCTACTCGAGATCGAGCCTGGACTAACTGGCAAGTTACATCGCTCTCAACTTTAACTCTAAGGAAAACACAGGTGGCATAGGATTTTTTGCAAGCATCGCAGAAAACATGCAAAGATAAACTTCCTGAATGGAGTGTGAACTCACTCAATCTTCGGGGTATTTTCACGTTTTGCAGTTCAAAAAGTTGATTTTTCCACTTATGAAACTCTTTAACAATATTATCAGGCAACTTACAGTCCCATGAAACTTTGATTTTCCAGCATTCTTGCAAAATTATCTTCGGAATCAAGGTTAATGGTGCAGTAAATCCAATTGGATCAAAAAGCTTGTGAGCTAATGAGAGAATACTTCTTTTCGTTACAGGTTCATCCTTAAATTCCAATTTTCTTAAATCACAAGTTAAAGTATCTTCTTCTGTATTCCATATCAATCCTAGCACAGGTACTTCTTTTATATTGAAAGTTTCAAAAGGAAATTCGTCTTTTTGTGCAATGATAGTAGAATAGCTGTTGTTACACCATCCTCTAAGATCAAATTTGGCTGATCCGAGTAGTTTACAAGATTCACTTCGAAAATAGTCTAGTTCTTGAGGAGAATCGACACTGGTAACGCAGTTGTCCACATACATCGAGTTTTTAAGTTTAGTGGCTAGATCTTTAAGATGCGCAGGGGCTTGTTCTAAGTGATGGCCTATAGTCGCAGCCAAAAGAAACGGGCTACAGTTTATCCCAAAAACAAACCCGCAATGACGATAAATGATCTCTTTTCTATGATTTCCTTCTTTCCACCATATGAAACGCAAATAATCTCTGTCCCGCTCATCTAATGATATGTGCAAAAATGCTTTCCGAATATCAGCGATGACTCCTATTTTTCCAACCCTGAAGCGATTGAAAACTGAGGGAATTAATTCAATTAAATTAGGGCCTTTTTCCATACAGTCATTAATGGAAACAGAGTTTCGAGTGCGAGCAGAGCTGTCAAAAACGGGTCTACATTTCGTAGTAGATTGTTCTTTAAATACAGCCCTATGAGGTAAATAACTAACATTCGATGTTGAAGAGGCTTCAGGTTCGCCAACTCTCTCAATAATCCCTTCAGATTCCCATTCATCAAAAACCCTTTCATAATCTTTAAGTTTGTCAATTGATTTTAAAGATCTTATCGTGTTCTTTAATCTTTTTTCTGTCAAGGATTTATTATCGGCAAGAGGTATGTGTCCATCTAACCATGGAAGGCAAACTTTATACCTCCCGTCATGATCCATCGTTACAGTTTCTTTAAAGTGTTTTAGGGCAAGATCCTGTAATTCTTCTCTAGATCGTTTTTCACAAGGATCAACAATTCCCAATGTATCTAAATCCCATAAATCTGTGATTTTTGCATCATTAACATGAAGGGATAGAACCAAAAGCAAACTATCAAATTTATCATGATTGGTTGACTTTCCCATTACTGTCCACCCTAGATTGGTCTTTACTGCCACTAATCCGCAAGAGAGATGTTCTATACGATCTGTTATAAGCTTCCTTGCAACGTCGGCCCCCGATAGTAAATGTGCTCGTTCAAATTCCTTTCATGTAAACATTCCTTACTTTTTGGGGAAATATCAGTCAAAATAATATCCTTTGACTCTAGATCTTTTTGCAACTCAAAATTGTTAGCCCTGGGAACATTCGTACAGATTTTCGTTTGATCCATAGCAACTAACTCACAACTATATTTTCTATCGTTACTACTTAACTGCAAAGCGAATCGATTATGCAGTTCTGCTGATTGAGATCGTCCAAAAAGTCCATGAGTAATTTCTTTTTCACCCAATTTTTCTAATCCCATTCTTTCAGCTACAAATTTACTAATGTAACTCTTTTGACTGCCTGAATCATAAATTCCCCGGATAAAGTGTTCTTTACCTTTATTGTGTATACGAACAATCAATGTTTGCAAATATACAGTTTCAGATGATGTTTGATTCGTTAGTACGTTATCTTCAGAATTAGGACTATTTTTATCTTTAATATCATGGTCAAACTTAGAAAAGCACAAGACAGTTTGATGTTTACCTTGGCATCTACTGCACACAACCTTAAAACGGCAAAAGCGTGCAATATGGCCTTTATTTTCTAAACATTTAAAACAAATCCCCTTCTTTAACAAAATATCTTTTTTCTCTTCAACGGATAAATCATTAGCATATTCACATACGGAACTCTCATGTTTTGAGGAGTCGCAAAAACCGCATAATTTTTTATTCATATTTTCATTTATTTCAGAAAAGATCAATTCTGAAGCGGAAATGAATTTATTTTTATTTTCTGATTTATTATATTTGAATCGAGTATCGGAAATATTTTGCTTACGGCTGGTAGAAAATGATTCCGAGAAGCGGCGGGGTCGAAGGTCATCCGCACGATTCATTATTGCAGATCGTTCTCTAGAATTTAACTCTTTGGAGAGAAAGCTCAAAAGTTCTTTTATATCTGATTCAGTTTCACTTTCACGTCTGTTATATTCTAAGACTAAATCAGGCGGTAAAATTTTAATGAGAATGGGGCATAAAACATTTCCGTAATTTTTACAGACTAATCCTAAGGATTCTAAACTTCTTATTTGGGTATTTATGTTATCATAAAATTTTCGGAAAGCAATCACATCACGTGAGTTCTTTAATGGTTGCATATTTATGATATTATTCATGTGGGCGTTAATAAGAATATCTGTTCGAGCAAATCTTTCTTTTAATAATTTTACTGCCGTGTCATATGTTTCTTCAGAAATAGAAAAACCTTCTATTGTATTCAGGGCAGTTCCACCCAAATGAGCTTTTAAGTAATTAAACTTATCAATTTTATCGAGACTGTCATTGTTATGAATGGCCGACTCAAAACTGTTCCAAAATGTCAGCCATTGTTTTAACTCGCCGTAATATTTGGGAATGCTTAATTTGGGGAGTTTAATTCGAATACTTTCTTTTTGTTCACTTTTATAATTTGCAGACTCATCAAGTCCTAAGGATTTCTTATTTTTAGATTTTTCATTCGACATGTTTTCGTTTAATTCCTGAATTTTCTTGGTGGCGCGGAATTTACAACGAACAACTTTTTCACTGTACTCTTCTGATTTCGAAAATTCGTCTTCAAACTCTTCTGTTCTAAACAAAACTTCCAATTCTTTGTTAATCAATTCAAGTGATTTATTTTTGTTTAGAAAAAAATGCAAACACTCTTCTAAAACACTGATGTCTGACAGTTCTGTTTTAAGTTCATTTTCTAATACATTCAGTGCTTTAGTAACAGACGATCTAAGCAAACCTCTTTTTTTCTTTAAAATTGTTACCCGTTCCTCCATTGTTTATTTTTTCAATTTAATGCTAATTTATATTTTTCAGTTCAATTGAATAAGTGTTCAAATTAAAAAAGTTAACTACGTCCCAGCAGGGATGCCATATAACGAATACTAAACAAAGACGTCTATTGATTCAATATATATGAACAAGGAATCTTACCTTGTTTCGGCTTCTTGTTCTGCCTTCACCTAGTATTCTCTTCCAAGGTCTTGGGCTGTAGGTAACTAATTACACCTAGGCTGAAAAATACTTCGACGTTTAAGAATTAAATTTAATAATTAATCATGATAAAAAAGAGAGGAAGCTATTTACAGTTGAAAAGAGTAGTAGGTTGTTCACAACAAATTCATAGCTAGACCACGCTCGTGGAGAAAAAGTTCGTAATTGAATGTTTCTGTATTTGTCCGCTAGGGGGGGGGTCAAGGCATTCTCAACAATAGATATGAAAACAACCGCTCCGTCTGAGCGTTTTGGCTGAAGTGTTACAAAAGTAGGGTGGCGCTGCTGCAGTGGAGGGTTGGATTCCCACATTGGTCATCCGACAAGAAGCACCTGCTCTCGGGTGGGCATATAAGAAAATTCAAAACAAAATACTTACATAATAGCTTAATATCATTTTACAATCCAAAATACTTAGGCATCATCTGAAAAAGATTTCAAAAAACATATTATTAATCAAAATATTAAAGAAATGATTTTCAAGATTAAAAAAAATGAATCTCTGGGGGAAAAAATAAAAAAGTTCTAAAGAGTTCTGAAGAAAATGTCATTTTAAGTATTATCATCAGACCAATGTTTGATGTATTCTGCACATGTACTGGTCTTTGAAGGTCCATAAAAAAAGCACATTTTTCGACATCAAAAGTATCATTAGGTTTAATTTTTGTTATCGTATAAGGTCCTATGTATTTCGGTTTCAGTTTCAATCCTGGTTCAAATTGAGTACGTTTTATTACCACTAAGATCGTTAATTCTGAAAGATGCAGATGGGTTTCGTCGAAGATTGTAAGTTCGTTTGTTTTCATCTTGGACTTTCTGTATTTGTTGTTTGGCTTGTTTCCGTAGCTCGTCACAGCTGTTAACGAAGATGGCTTGAATTTCCTCATTCAGCATATTTGTAATTTCCAGATCTTGTTTTGTTTTAATAGCAGTAGTACCAAATAACAGTTGAAAAGGAGTAGTGTTAATGCTTCGTTGAAAAGTAGAATTAATGTCTTTCTGAACGTCTTTTACATAAGTATACCATTTGTTTGGATCTTCTACTGATAATTTGGAGATTACAGAAATTATGGTAGAATTTAAATTTTCTATTTGTCCATTTGCTCTCGGTAAACCAGTAGTTACAGGAAAGTGTTCAATTTGTTCAGCACTGCAATACTCAAGGAACTGTTTGGAAGTAAATGCAGATCCACGATCAGAAATAATTCGTGATGGATTGCCAAAAACATATTTTTGAGTGTCTAATTTTGAAATAACTTCGGTAGCATCTGTACTTTTCGTTGGGTATAACCAGCAAAACTTTGTGAAAGCGTCTATAACTGCAAAAATGTAGGAATTCTTGTTTGTGGTAGGCAATGGTCCTAAATGATCGATATGATAAGTGTGCAGAGGAATGGATTCTTTTTCGATCGGATGTAATAGTCCTTCTTGTTTTCCACACTTTCGATTTATTAAAATGCAAGGAACACAGTTTTAATAAAACGGTCTAATTTTTCTTTTCACTTTAGGGATATGGAATTGATGTTTCAATGATTCTTCAGTACGCTTAGAGGCATAATGTCCGCGATCATGAGCATTTCGTATAATATCATTCTGCATACTTTCAGGAACGACAAGAAGTTCTTCACCATCAACAAATTTATATAGTATGCCAGATTTAAGAAAAAAGTCATCATAGGGTTTAATTTTCAAAAGTTCTCTAACCATTTGGATTTCACTATCTTCTTCCGGAGCTTTCCTAATTTTCGTAATGAGACTATTCTGTACTATAGTAATGGGATATCTACTTGGCGCGTCAACATGATACATTTTAGAACCGGAACGGTGTTCAATGATATAATCGAAATCCTGTAGCAATAATGCCCAGCGCGCTATCCGAGTACACAAATCCTTTTTATTTAATGTCATCGCAAACGCATTACAATCGGTCACAATTTTAAAATGTTTCCCTAGCAAGTAAACTCTAAATTTTTTTAAAGCCTGAACAATGGCTAAGACTTCAAGCTCATAACTGCTGTATTTTGCTTCGGCATCAGACGTTTTCTTACTCGTAAAATATACCGGGTGAAACGCATTATCTTCTAACGATTTCTGCATTAAAATACATCCATAACCATGAGTACTAGCTTTGCAATGTATTTCAGTATCCGCGTTTTGATTGTAAATGCTAAGAACGGGTGGAGAAGACAAATTATGTTTTAAACTACTAAATGCTTGTATTTCATTCTCGATCAATTTAAATTCGCGATTTTTCTTTAGAAGTTCAGTTAAAGGGTGAGCAATAATGGAGAAATTTAATATGAATTTTCGAAAATAGCTAGACCAAGGAATGATTGTAAATCCTTTCTATTTTTGGGTTCGGGAAAATTAAGTACAGCTTTAATTTTTTGTGGTGACGAGTACATTTTAAAATTTTCAATTACATGTCCGAGAAATTCTATTTTTCTGGTTAAAAATGTACATTTTGAAAAATTTATCTCTAACCCATAAGCAAAATCGAGTGAAAATACCGATGCAAGCCTCTCAAGACCTTCCTCTTCATTTTTCGATGGTATAGTTATATCATCCATAAAAATAATAATTTGACCTTTAATTATCAAATCCTTAAAAATAATGTTAATATAACGCTGAAAAGCTGCGGGTGACTTGCAAAGGCCAAATGGTGCTCGTAAAAATTGAAATTGACCATTATGAGTGACGAAAGAAGTGTATTTACGACTGTTCGGTTATATTTCCAAATTAAAAAATGCATTACGCAAATCAATTTTGCTAAACGTAGTTGCTCCTTGAAGATTTTCTAATATATCGTCAATAAGTGGTAAAGGGTAAATATCTTTAACTACATTTTTATTTAACGCTCTATAATCAATACAAACTCTTGGGGTTCCGTCTTTCTTTTTTACCACAACAACCTGACTGGAATATTCGGAAGAACATAGTTCAACAATACCGTCAGCCAGCCATTTTGTCACTTGGTCATCAACAATTTTACGTTCTGTAAAAGGTAATCGACGTGGTCTCTGAGTTATTGGAGTTTCAATTTTTAAATTTATAGACATTTGAATTTCGCAAGTTTTAGTTTCGGTAGGTTTATAATTTGAAACCATATTTTGAAGAGTTTCTTTTTGTGTTTGACTAACGCGAGATCTGATTTCTAATTCGAAATCATTTTTAATCGAAGTATTTGAAATCGAAAATTGCTCTACGGGTTCCGTTCTACTATCTTCTATTTTTGTTAAAGTGATACCAGCGGTATTAATTTTTATTTCTGCCTGTGTTGAAATATCCATGCCAATTATAGCATCATATGACATAATATTATCTCTAACTATACAAAAATTTGTTTTAAATTCTTGATCATCTATTATAAACTCATGAGTACAACTACCTATTGGTTTAATATGTCCGTTACCAAACGTTGCTAGTGTACCATAAAAAGAAGTCAAAGGAGGTAAGCCTATTTTATGATAAGTTTGTTCCCGCAAAATTGTTTTCATAGCTCCAGTATCAATAAGAGCATTAAATGAAGTATTATTGACATTAACAGTTTTATACATCAAAGAAGGTGAATGTGTAATTGCTCTTACAGTGTTATCAGTTTGGTTAATAAGTTTATTATTACACTTAGAAGTAATGTGTCCAAATTTCTTACAAAAATTACATTTCAAACCTCGTTGTTTATCAGGACACAAACGTGAAATATGTCCAGTCACACCACAATTATAACAAGTTTTCTGTTTATCAAACTTAATATCACTATGAAAATCATATCCTCGTACAATGTCACGTACTAAATTACTACACTCACGTTTGGCAAATTCTGGAGCAAAGCGAGGATTTGTACGGAAAAAAGATTTTTTGTTTCTATCATTAACTATTTTTTCATAAATACGCAATTTATCCTTAAATTCAGGAATAGATTTCGCGCCATACAAAATGGATTTATTAGCGGGGGAATCGAGAATACCGTCAATAGTATAATCAAATAAAGAAAAATCATCTATTGGGTTTTTACAATTACACGCGAGTTCCCGTGCGGCAAAAAAATATTCCATGAAAGATTCGTGTGGATTTTTTTTATGATTTCTTAATTGACGATGAATTTCGGTGGCATTTAATTGGTGACTAAACTCATTTAATAAAGCATTTTTAAACAATAACCACGATGTTAAATTACGCTGCGTGAAAATAAAAGTTTTAGCTTGACCGTCAAGTAAAGTTTTACAAAATATTATTTTCTGCGTATCACTTAAATCCGGAATAGAATTAAACGCGTCCTCAACATCGTTGAAAAACAAATGTATCCCATATGAATCAGAAGCATTGAAACGCCTCATTGAAGATATTTCTTTTAAAAGAAAATAATTCGAAGAATCAAATTCTGCATTCTTTGTTTTGTTGCTACTCGATAGGCACTTGGGTGGGGTTTCAATGTCATGTACGTGTACTACTTCAGTTTCACTTTCGTATTGTTCATCTTTATACAAGAAGGGGAGGGCAATCAATATCGAAAACAATAAAACAAATATTTATTTAAACAAAACAACGAGTTCCATATTATTAGGGTGGAACCCTTCAGATTATAAAGTTATACATTAGAAGACAATTAATTCAAGCCAATGCTTACTGCTTGGTGGTTCAATGCAGACTGATTATCAGCCCTCTGGTGGGGAGATTTCGAATTAATTATATTTACATCTACATTTCTGAACACTCCCCACCTGATAATTTTAAAGTAAAAATTATCACAAAACTATATGCAATAGCAAAACAATAATTCTACATTATATTAAACATTATTTAAACACATTACATATTAAAACTAAAATATAAAAATTAACACTAATCAATTATAAGACAGTAAAATATAGTTTGAAGCATCAAATTTAAAAGAATAGTAAATTATTAAAATATCATTAGAATGTTAATTATCTTTTTGAGAGGTTCTTTAATGCTTCTCATCAACCGTTCATAAAATCCTCCCCACCATGGGGCGAGCTCAACAATAAATTTCAATGCAATGCCTTCAGAGGAAATGAAATTTTGAAATCCTTCTCCTCTAATACAGTGC